AAATTTCCGACTGCCCAGACTTGTGCGAGGCACTCACGCTCTGCGATAGAAAACTTGCTCTCGGAAGGGGAAAGGAGGCAACTGCCATAAGCGATAACGCGATCCGGTCCTCGTTGCCGCTGGGCGACAACAGCACCAATTACATGTCCGCTGGCATCAGTACGAACTTCAGTATGGGCTGATGGGTCAAAATGGGCCAAGATGGGTGGGGAAGTAAGTGATGTTGTAAGGGTGCTTAAGCAGTCGCTTAGTCTGTACCCCAATAAAATGGCATGTCCTTCTTCAGTAGTTCTGTAAGCGGTCGGGCAATGTCAGCGAAATGCTTCACAAAACGCCGAAGTTAAGGACAGAGGCGCATAAAACTACGTACATCTTTCGTGGAACGTAGTACGGGAAAATCTTTGACAACTTTAATTTTGTCAGGATCAGGTTGCATGCCTCGAGCATTGACAAGGTGGCCCAGCACAGTTATTTCCCGACGGCCAAAGCGACATTTGGAAGAGTTTAGCTGAAGTCCTGCTGTCCGGAAATTCTCAAGAACAGCCAAAAGGCGGCTAAGGTGGCTTTCAAATGTAGGTGAAAATACGATGACGTCATCGAGATGGCACAGGCATGTGGTCCATTTGTATCCACGCAGGAGAGAGTCCATCATCCTTTCAAATGTAGGTGGGGCATTACACAGTCTGAATGGCATAACCTTGAACTGGAAAAGTTGATTAGGTGTAATGAATACGGTTTTCTCACGGTCTCGATGATCGACAGAAATCTGCCAGCATCCCGATCGTAAGTCGATAGATGAAAAGTAGGCAGACCCATGTACGCAGTAGAGAGCATCGTCAATCCGCGGCAGTGGATACCCGTCCTTACGTGTTACTTTGTTTGTACGACGGTAGTGTACGCAGAAGCGCCAGCTGCCATCCTTCTTCTTGACTAGCCCTACCGACGATGCATATGGACTGCAGGAAGGTTCGATGACGTCTTTTGTTAGCATTTCTTCAACTTCGTGCTAGATAACTTGTCGCTCAGCATTAGACACGCGATACGGACGTCGTCGGATGGGCTGGCGTCTACAATGTTATTTACTATGAGTTACAAAGGAGGTCTGACCCAAAGGGTGGTCATCAAAATCAAAGATGTCACGGTAGGATTTCAGCAGGTGTCGGGTATCAGCTGTCTGTGCTGGAAGAAGGTCAGGAGCGATCATCTGGTCGATGGTGGCATCCGCTACGCTCCTAAAAAAGGAGAATAGGGCAGATGACGAAGAAGATTCGGCAACGAACGCCGAAATGGCAGCATCTATAGAAGAAACTATTGCCAAAGTCACACCATCCGGGATAACTTGAGTGCACCAGCTGAAGTTTAGGATCAGAAGAAATGCTGTATTTCCCGTGACTGTCAAAAGCGTGTGAAGCACGGCAACATTTTTGGCCAGCAGAACGTCAGCAATTGGTGTCAACATGTAGGCACCGTCCGGAACAAGAGGGACAGACCTCAGGTTCCCGTAGAGAACGGCTTGAGGTGCTAGGCGAACGAGATTTACAGAACGCAGACGTGGTTGAGCTGGTGTTGGGTCGTCATGGTAACACGGTAAATCGAGTTGAAGCATGCCGGTTCCACAATCAATAAGGGCAGAGTGGGCGGATAAAAAGTCCATGCCGAGGATAATTTCATGGGAACATTTCTTGAGCACAGCAAATAGCACTGTCGTGGATTGATGATTGATATGTGGGGTTTAACGTCCCAAAACCACCATATGATTATGAGAGACGCCGTAGTGGAGGGCTCCGGAAATTTCGACCACCTGGGGTTCTTTAACGTGCACCCAAATCTGAGCACACGGGCCTACACCATTTCTGCCTCCATCGAAAATGCAGCCGCCGCAGCCGGGATTCGATCCCGCGACCTGCGGGTCAGCAGCCGAGTACCTTAGCCACTAGACCACCGCGGCGGGGCAGCACTGTCGTGGAGTGATCGGCAACACTTATATGTGCAGAGCACATTCCTAGCATGGAAAATGTGCCACCGTCTTCGACCTGGATGAGCGGTACTGTGGGTGGCGTTAAAACTTTCCTAAGGCGGCAACGAAGTTCTGAATTCATCACTGATATGTGAGCCCGTGTCCACAAGTGCAACAACGGGTGTGTAGTCTACTTCAGCGTCAATAAGGCTGCGTTGAGTCGGCAGCATGGTCTAAGGATTTGGCGGGCGAGTGGTCGATGTAGCATCACCTCCGGGAGTTTTCCCGTGGCAGGTGGTCAGTCGGCGAGGTTGCGATGGTCGGCGTAATTAGGGCGAGCGAGACGACGGGCGACGGGAGAGCGGTGAACGGGACTGGTGAGCATGCAAAGATGGAGAACAACAACGATATGGCGGCATAGAAGGAACATCTTCACTGATGGCCTGAGGTGATTCCCGGTAAGGTTGAAAGCATCGATGATCTCTCTCTGGGCGGTGGGTGTACCCATAGGATGCCTGATGCCAATACCACCGAGTGTTACAATGGCGGGCCACATGTCCGACATGGTGGCAGTTGAAACAAATTGGACGATCGTCAGCAGTCCTCCACTCGGCTGAATTGCGAGGGTGCACTGAATGGTTATGGCTTTGGACATACGAAACAGGGGGTCGACGATGGTCGATCGGCTGAGAGGGAGTTGTATTGCACTCGGATGCCAGTCAAGCATGGGAAAGCTCTTGTCGCACAATGACATGCACCTGTGGCACCATCTGAGGGCTAGAGTCACAGGCATGGGAGCACGTGGACGCAGGAGACAGAGCTTCAAGTTCACGTCTGATGATCTTGGTCACATGCTCTGCAGTTAGCGGCGTCTATAGTGCACGCCCGTCTTCGCACGACCAGGCTGCTGCTGTGTTTGGTAGTCGAGTGAAATGGTGGGTGATACGTAGACCTTTTGCAGCCTCAAAACGCTGGCACTCCTTGATGATGGCGTTGATCACGTTGCAGTCCTTGCATATGAGAAGGTTGAACACAACATATGCAATTCCTTTCAATACGTGTGCTACTTTCTCGGTTTCTTCCATGCCATTGTCCACTTTTCGGCAAAGGGCGAGCACGTCCTGTATGTAAGTCACGTAGGACTCTGCTGACGTTTGCGCACGAGAGGCCAACTCCTTCTTGGCTACTGCCTTTCTACCCACAGACTTGCCTGAAAGGGCGCGCATCTTTTGTTTTCACGCATCCCAGCTTCCAATTTCATCTTCGTGGTTCTCAAACCACACTTATTCTGTTCCTTTCAAGTAGAACAGGATGTTGGCCAACATAAGAGTTTGATCCCAGCGGTAATTCTTACTTGTACGTTCGTTCAACGGCAACCATTCTTCGATGTCGACATCATGAGTGCCACGGAACGTGCCGGGATCTTTTAGCTGTGGAAGGACAACAGTTGTTGTTGTTACCTCGGCGAAGCGGGTCCCGAATTTGCCATGGTGGAAAACTTCATAGGTCGGCCACTGTGGAGCTCCGTTATATCGTGTTGTACCCCACACCACCAACAAATGTCACGGGGGTGAGAGAACGATTGAAATAAATATATTTACAAAATATACAGGGAGACTGAGATGCAGCTGTGGCCAAGATGGAGGTACAACAGCAACAACAACACGAGCGCAATCGCATTCATCGTCTTCGTCGTCTACCTGATGCTCTCTCGTTGCCGATGTCGTGTAACACATCGGTTGCGTTGTTGCAAAAAGAGATTGCGTATCTAGATCTTTTTTAAGCTACATGTGTATTTGTTTTCAGCTCATTCAACAAGAGAGAATAGTTTTGCTGACATTCTATCGTAGTGGTCGTTCCCACACCCTTCTACGCATGCCCAATTTTCTCCTTTTTTCGCCTATATATGTACACCACTCCGATATGAAATCTTTGTTGAAAGTCAGCGCTGTTTTCTGTCCTTGTTTTTCGCTTCCGTAGTTACGAAGCAACTACTTCTAGGTTGCGCTGTTCCTACATTGAGTTATGTCCATCTGGAACAGTATCCCAAGTTAAATAAGCTTCCTTGTAATAAAGGCAGTTTTAAAAAGCGATCACCCTGGCGTTTACTTTACTTGTAACCAATATGTTGTAATTTATGCCATTGTATTGGTTCTATTTACCATTTATTGATATTTGTTCAGTCTTATATCATAACACAGTTTACTCGTTTTCTTGTTTGAAATTTTTGCAATTTTGCTGTTGTATGACACATCACTTTATATTGTTCGGTTTTCATTATTATTTACCATATAATCTTTTTCAGTAAAGTCAGTACTCCAATTATTAGCTAGATTTTTCTAGATATTTACATGCTAGTATTTCAACTTGTTTATTGCCTTTGCACTTGTATTATCCTCATTGTCTTGTTAGTTCAAATTCTCACACGTAATAAGTGTATTTCGATTTCATGTTTTGCGTATTCGCTCTCAGGTGTTACTGGTTTTCCAAAGTTATTTTTGTACGTTAGGAAGTTTCTAATAATGGATGTTTTCTTGTTCGAATCAGTAAAATAGTTCTCATTCGCAGCTTAGAGCTCAGGGATCTCCTGTATGTTGCCACTCGAAAAGAAATTTTTTTTTGGTGAATAAATAAATTCTTTTTTTTTTTCAAAGCCTAAAATAAGCACCTACTTCTGCTCGAGGCCTTTCAACGTTAAACACCGGTAGGTAAGTGATTTCTAGTGCCACTACCACAGGAGCTGCTTCTGCTAAGAAGCCTTGCTCACCTCGAAATCTAACATGAAAACGGAGTACATCTCTTACAAGAGCGGATAATGACTCGTATTTAAAAAGCTGTTCTTTATCAATACACATTAACGGATCAAGTGAAATGCGCTCAGACTGCCGGGATTTGGTCCCGCGACTTTCCCGTCAGCTGAGAGTGGCTTACGTAGTACACAACTGTGACCGGTGACAGATGCAACGAAAGTGATTGTGTAGTCTTTTCACTTTGACACATGTGATCACGCTAGTTCAACACACAAAGAAAGTACTACACTTACCAAACGCTGAACAGAATCAACGTATTTCTGCGCATTTTCGGCGTTCTGAAGAAATCCACGAAGTGAAATGCCATGCCCCTCTTTGAATCCTGAAAAAGAAAACGGCATTTACGAAGGGACATTGACTGACATTTACGACAAGCGGCCCGACATAGGAAAAGCACAGACCAAAGAGCGTTAAGAAAACCACCATCGATTTTTCGACTCGGTATAGTGAAGCGCAAGCTAGGTGAGCGTCAACTTCAGGGAAATTGGGGTATACCTTAGTTGAGCCCAGTTTTATTTTCACACGTGTTTCACAGATTTGGTCAGTCAGCCGAAAAGAAAAAGAGTGTTATTCCCTGCATCCTCAAAAATTGGGGCGTGGAAGTCGCAAACAGAGTGCTCATAACAAAACACAAAATCGCAGAAGAGGTCACATGCCACTTTTTTGTAATTACGTTATTGAGCTTCACGGAAATCAGCACTTCACGGAAATCGCATGTCACAAGTTTTTTGCCGGGTTCACTGCAACGATGCCACAAGTGTGATCGGCGTGATATTGTGTGTTTCACATTATGTTTAACGCTTTTGAGCACTTCGTACTCAACTATGAGAGAGCACTGAGTCTTCCCTTAACATGCTAACCTACTACACGAACAATAGATGTTTTTTTTTATTTTCGCATCCGTTAACCAAGCAATGCATTCCGTCTTTGCCATCCCGCAGGCCCACAATTTTGTCGCTAGTTTTATTTTGCGAACTTGAACTTGCTGGCCAATTTTATCTGGTATTCCAACATTTTTGTTAAACGAAGCAAAGCACTTTTGAGTGTAACAACGCACCGGTAGTAAGCTATAGGTGTAGTGTTTGTATTAGCCGACAAAAACAATACTTGTGGCAACATTAGCGTGGTGTGCGCCAAAGAACGTCTAATTGTGTGGTAAACTGTAGAATGAAATGCTTGCCCCACTGGCTGGCTGTTTATCTTGGAGAAGCGAACACACGTAGCAGCCTGTGAGAGGAACCACAGCACTGTCTTCGAAAATGTGCACTGCGTTGAGAGGTATAGACATCATTCGTTCACCTTTATAGACGGACAATTTATTTTCGTGCGAATACGTCTTGTTTGAGATAACATTGGCCATAGTTGCGGGCCGGCAGCAGTAACCGGCTTTCCACGGAACATCGCTCTTTAACATTTTAGTCGTAGTAAAAATGAATTTGACGCGATTATGTGCGAGTGGGTACATCTGAGCGTTTGCGCTAAGTTGAAAGAAAAAAAAATGTTCACGATCTGCGCGCTGAAAGATGCGACTATGCATCAGCTATAATAATTGCGAAAGCTGCATTGACGCTTCGCCAAGGCGAATACGCTACCAAAATAAAGGTATAACTCGTACTATCACAGACGTCATACCACTTAATGTGAACTGCGAAGATTCTTGTTTAGCATATGCTTCGTACCTTGACGGCTCGACCTTTATGAAGTTACACAGCGCATACCTGATATGCAAGTTTGCGTATCAGGTCTAAAGTAGCAATGTAGGTATGTAAACACACTTTAGGCATCAAATGCAGCGAGGTAACTGTGCAAAATTTTATGTACTTTCAAGTTACCCACTTTCAATTTACATAAATTTAGAACGCCGTAGGAGGAACGCCGTAGGAGAATTTCGCCTTAGTTTTCACGGAGATTTGTTCACGTCGACTTAACGCACGGTAAAAAATGTTTCGTTTTTTCATATATCTCCAATGAAAATTTTTTGCTGCGAGTGAGAATCTTATCCGTAACCTTGCGCACAGCCGCTCAAAACGATGCTGCTGGCCGCCAATGCTGCACCAGGCCCGTCGCGGTGTTCTAGTGACTAAGGTACTTGGCTGCTGACCCGCAGGTCACGGGATCAAACCCCGGCTGCGGTGGCTGAATTTCCGAGGGAGGCGGAAATGTTATAGGCCCACGTACTATGAGTTGGGTGCACTCTCAAGGACCCCAGGTGGTCGAAATTTCCGGAGCCCTCCACTACGGCGTCTCTCATAATCATATCGTGGTTTTGGCATGTTAAACCCCGCAAGTTAATCAAAATTGTATATTACATGCTGCGATGGAAATCGGGTACGTTTATATTTATGCCATGCAAATATTTCTCAAAGTGTCAGCCACCGTGAACATGCAGAACGCTCGCTATGTAAGGAAACATCCTTTGTGGCTGCAATCTACGACTAGCAAATTTCCACATGTTATACCAACAGGATCGTGCACTGTTGGCAGCGATCCTTTAATAGACAAAAATAGTGTCACGGGTTCCTGACGTGGACGAAGGGGGCGGACTCGATGTTCAGATGAAACTCTTTGTTTAGCCGAAGTTGTGGCCGGTAAAGGTAGAGATAGCTTACGGCGAAATACACTGGCACTGATAGCGGCGACCAGTGTCGGCCGCTGATCAAGTGACAAGTGGTGAAGCGCATCACTGGAGGCCGGATTTATGGGGAATCAGCGCCAAAGTTTCCGCGCACATGAAGTGTCGCCCTGTCGAGCACGACCGGAAACACTCGGGTGTACAAACAAGTACTAATGTAAACCATGCCGCAGTATGCAATGATCGGACGAGGAAAAAGAAACTTCGAGGCGGCGTTATTGTGGTATTCGCAATAAAGCCCCTATACTTCGTAAATGTACCGACATCTGCTCTTCCCGTTACCACCTCCTTTCCGGCGCGTTGCTTTTTTTTCTTTCGCTTGCGACAGTGGCGCCTTCTGCAACGTGCCACGAGCGTGGAGTCTGCTTTCGAGCAGGTGACGGGAGGAATTGGCGCAGATGAAAAGAATGCTGCATTTTTCAAGTACCCCCATCTGCTCTCCCCCTCGCCACCTCCTATTCGGTGCGTTGTTTTTTTCTTTCGCTTGCGACAGTGGCGCCCCCTCTAACGCACCACGAGTACAGTGTATTAGAAGGGGGCAGTGGAATGAACGAGGCGGCCGCGCCGCTTCTCGACTGATTCTCCGGTGGGTGACAGTAGCGGTGGCGCTGTAGTTGCATGGTACTGAAGCTCTCGGCAGCGCCTGAACTGGGAGCACGCGCTCCATAGCCTGCGACAGCGTGTGGTTGGTCTTTTTGGCGCGTTTAAATTGTTTCTGAGGCTTTATTAGTGTATGCACACCTGCTACACGCCATGGTGCACGAGTAAATGTGCAGGCACGCCGAAATTGCGTTGAGACATTCAATGTTCGAAGAGCCTGTCAACCACCCCCCCTACAAAAAAACAAAAACAAAAACAAAACATGCACACATGCAAAATCAGAATTTCCGTGGATCCGCCTCGAATTCTCACTCAATCAGTGCTTTGAGTGGCGCTGCATAATAAGTGGCTACTGGCAAACTACAACAAAAAAGCATCAAAACTCAAAACCGCTATTAAATCACACGCTCGTTTTGTCGGCCGTCTCTACGATACCCAGAGCACTGTTCCTCATATAAGTCTACATGCGCTCGATTGTTTCATGAGAAACTCGAGTGTAAGTAACGTTGTCACAACATTAATATCGGTGACTCGATCAGTTTTATCATGCCAGTTTTGTAAAAAATAGTAAATAATGCTTTCTGAAATGCTTATGTTGTGTTAACCACGTGCCTTTGCGCTTACTTTACTTCATTTATGCAAGCTCCAAGTGATTATTATACCAGGAGTCGGAGCCTGGGAGCCGAGCTGAAGAAACACGTGTAGCTCCAAGTCATGAGCTCTATGCGAAAATGGTTAGCCTAAACATATTTAAAAATGCTGGTTGTATATATAGCCCGTCTGTTAATCTGCATATCTGCATAAATTCACTGTAACCAGTTCTCATTTTGTATCGACTGCTTAAATTGTGCTGCTTTCCTAATATTCTATCGACATAACGCCTTTGCAAGCCAGCTAATTTGTGACGATGTTTTGTATATAAGTGTAGTTTTTATTAAGTAACGAATATAATAGCAGGTAGTGGTGCATATTGTTTAGAGAAATTTTACTTGAATATGTACAAAGTACCCCACACACACCACACACACACACACACACACACACACACACACACACACACACACCACACACACACACACACACACCACACACACACACACACACACACACACACACACACACACACACACACACACACACACACATATATATATATATATATATATATATATATATATATATATTCTCAAAGTCACCATTCCTGTAACAATATTCATTCAATACTCCTTAGACCAGCCGCTGTTTTTGCGCGGTGAACTTATCGTCCTATTACGTTAGACTTTAACTAGTTTTGAGATCTCATACTGTCGAAAAGGTGAAATGAACAGTCCGCATTTTTAGAGACAAGCTGTATTCAGCTTCGCCAACTGTAAACTATTGGTGTAGCGCTACCCAGGATATTTTTTGAGGGAGTGGAGCGCGCAGCAGAACGACAAACTTTGGCAATTGGTGGTCGCTGTGAAGGCGTGTGAATATTTTAGTATAACCTGAAAGCTTAAATTACGAAAACATTTCGTGGTGTAAGGGCTTCAGATTCCCTTCCTCTTTCCTTTCTACTTACGGCCTTCTGGTTTTGCTTGCGTTGGACACGATATTTTTTTTATCTCACAGCTTTCAGAGCACACCTAACTTACGAAAAATAGGCCCAGTTATTTTGAGTATTGTAAACGCCTAAACAACAAAGAAAGAGTCAATACAGACGAATGTGGGATAAGACATGCCCTTCCTAAATAATTTTCGATCTCTCACAACGGCTTTTCCGGAGCTGAAATTCAGTAGATTGGCGTTTCAGCCTTCAAGGGTTATGACATCATGTGTTAGACATGAATGATAAGCCCGTACGAAGAAATCTGCATAAAAAAACTGTGCTGAAGGATTCGAAGCGCATAGCAGTTCCTGCGCGCGGTGAGTGGCTCTTTTAGTACTAATAGACTGCAGTGCCGCCACTACGGGCAACGCGGAAGCGATCAGGCGGCGAGACGTGGTCTCGCCCCTCAACACTTCTAGTACACTCTACCACGAGCTTGCAGTTTGCTTTCGAGCCGATGACAGGAGGAAGTAACGCAGATAAGCAGAACGCTGTACTACAG